TATAGTATAGTATAGTATAGTATAGTATTGTATAGTATGTGTCTGCTGTGGGGAATATAAAGATGAGCAAGCGTAGTCTTGAAATTCAGTGCGCTAGGGAACCGAGCAAAGCAGATCTCTCTCCCTTTCCCCTAATTTTTTTCAGGTGAAAAACCTGAGGCTCTGAAATTCCAGAATCATCCAAGGAGAAAGGGCAGGGCCAGTCTGACTCTAGACTGTTTCCATGCTCTCCTGACAGTGACTACTCAGCTAGCAGAGCGCCAGCCCCACAGGTCACCCATACATATCAGCTATGAGCAGGTTTCCTGCCACTCGGCAGAGCTCTGCTTGACTTATAGCGTCAATACTTTGTGCCATGGCCTGAGAATACGCACAAGCAGCCCCCTAAAGCTTCGCTTTTTATTGTTTCTTTGCATATTACATAAACCTCTTCTTTCAACCAGTCATTTTCTTAAAGTAGGATACTTTCCTGATAAGTAAGGACTTAGCAAATTTAATGAACTCAAGTATAATCTCTAATAGAAAAATCAATGAACCCATGTGTCTCTATTCAAATTTTAAATTTCTCTTTGGTTCATCTACTCATAAGCAGGATTAAAAATGAACCAGAGTTCCCCAGGGAATAAGCAGAAGGAAAAGAATTTAAAAGCATTCACTTGTAATGTAAATAAACAAAACTTTCAAGAGCTAAGTATGCGAACGCGGGTAAACTGGCTGAGTAAAATTAATCATTTTAGTTTGCCTTAAAATTATCCTGACCTAGCCTTTGTCCTCTAACCGGCAGGATTTATGTAACTGACACAATGAGCTTCCACCACAAGAGGGAGCTAGCACCATTTTAGTTAGTTCATATCCACTGAAAAATTTAACCATAGAAAAATAAAATACAAAAGGCAGCTATAAAATGCTTAGGACTAAAAAATATTGCATGCCATGGTGTGCTCAAATGTATCTTAAAACAACTGCTATATATAAAGGAAGCACATTCGTCAGGGCTGGAGAGGTGGCTCTGGTTAAGAGGACTTGATGCTTTTGCAAGAGGACCCAGGTTTGATTCCCAGCACCCATGCAGCAGCTATAGCCATTCATGACTCTAGTTCTAGGGCATCTTCTGGCCTCTGCAGACACCAGGCAGGCACATGGTGCACACACATATGTGCAGGCAAAACAGTTATACAGACAATTTTTTTTTAAAAAATTACGTATTTTTGTCAATTTCATTATGCAGGTTTTTTTAGAAGGCAAAGACAGAGTCTAAAAGAGTTCTCTGAGTGAAGAAAGCAATACTACCTAAGGACCACCAGGTACATTACACCACAAAGGATTTACTCTTTGAATGTTACTAAACACTCCAACAAACAGACTACTTTCTTTCTTTTCTTTTCTTTTTTTTTTTTAAACAGACAGGGTCGTATACATCCCTGGCTGGCCTAGAACTCAAAGATCTGCCTGCCACTACTTCCCTGGTGCTGGGAATTCAAGGTATGCACCACCATGCCAGGCTAAACCAGCTTTTCTCAACAGTAGTAGAGTTTATAATCCATTAGTAAACATCACAAGTCCCAGGCCACTGGACGACACAGCAAAACTGTCTCAAAATCAAAATGTACTCCAAAATGAAGATTCAGTTTTCATATGCATTAATTCAAAGAATTAAAGGCATGTTAACCCTTGACTATACTCAAAATTACACTGTAAATGATACATCCATCCTAGACCAAAGGCAGATAGATGGGTTGTATTTTATTACTGAAGGCTTCTAAGGGTAAAAAAAACAAGATTTACAAAATTCTTTTTTTTTTTCTCTCTTTTGAGATAGGGTTTCTTTTAACAGCCCTGGCTGTCCTGGAACTCACTCTGTAGACCAGGTTTGCTTCAAACTCATAGAGATCCACCTGTTCCTTCCTCCCAAGTGCTGGGATTAACGGTATGCACCAGCACTGCCTGGTTCATTTAATTAGTTTTTTAAAAGTATTCTTCTACCTTGAACTACTCAGTAGAAATAATTACAAAGTTAAGTTTGTAAAAAGGGCATTCTAAATAGGAATCACAGTTCAACAGACTGGAACTATACGGAAAACGTCCCTCTGGCTATAAACAAATAGACAGAAACAACTATAACATAGTCATAGTAACAAAAACTTCAAATACTTGTCAATTTTTTTGTCTTATCAATATCATCTGGCAAAATTTTTACCATAATCTCAAATTTCACATATTGTTAAATTTAGCTACTTAGTCATCTGCGTGAAGTATGTGACACCAAGGTTCTATTTTGTTTTCTAATTTAAATCACTCAAACAAGAAGACGTGATTCCTATCATCAATTTTAATTTTTTAAAAAAGGTGCATTCAGGGGCTAGGGAGATGGCTCAGAGGTTTAGAACACAGGCTACTCTTCCAGGGGACCCCTGTTCACTGCCCAGCACCCACGTGGAAGCACACAACAGCCTTTATCTCCAGCTTCAGGGGATCTGATGCCCTCTCTGGCCTTCCTGGGCACCAGGCACTCATGTGACACATAGCCATGCATGCAGGCAAATCACTCAAACATAGTTCAAATAAAATATATCTTCTGGTGGGGAGACAATCACTTTGCAATAACCCAGTGGGTATATATACAGCAGCAGTTTTTTTCTAAACATGCTATAATTACTGATTTTTTTTTCTTTTTTCAAGACACGGTTTTCCATGTAACAAACAGCTCAATCTGTCTTGGGACTGGTTCTGTAGACCAGGCTGGCCTCAAACTCATAGAGATCTGCCTGCTCTGCCTCCCGAGTGATGGTATTAAAGGCATGTACCACCACCACCCTGCAACTGGACTAATTTTACTCTGCGTTACCAATGTCAAATGTTGGTGGGAGATGTGAAAACAATCATGGGGGGGGCGGGGAATAGCATTCAGATATTCATTTAAGTCTTAAGAGGTGACAGAATGTACAGAACTAACTGGCACTGGCATGACTTCAAATACCGTGGCCTGTTTGCTCTGCTCGTTTCAGTTTGGTTAAAGAGATGAAGCTGTAGTGCTCGAGTCCCACATAACCGGTAGCTTCTGCTGTAATACCATCAATTCGGTCCTTCTCTGCTTTGGAAGTCACGCTTCTCTGTTATGGAACGGCTCCATTCCATCCGAGATGCCTTCCTCCTCCTGCCACCAGGTGTCTGCCCTGGTCCTTGCATACAGCCCGACCCGAGTATCATTTCCTTCAGTGAAGTCTGAATTACAATTACAATAAAATTACAACTTCAGCTGGGCGGTGGTGGCGCACACCTTTAATTCCAGCACTCGGGAGGCAGAGGCAGGTGGGTCTCTGTGAATTTGAGGTCAGCCTGGTCTACAAGAGCTAGTTCCAGGACAGTTCCCAAAGCTACAGAGAAACCCTGTCTTGAAAAATTAAAACAAACAAACAAACAAAACACAACAACAACATAGCTCCTGGAAAGCTGATGCCAGCAATCTTTGGGGGTTTTTTCTCTAGAAAGTAAAAGAACCCAACTAACTTCTTAGCTCTCTTCAAGGTGCCGATGTTGGGACAGCTGCTGCGTTTGTGATCCAAAGCCCCACAGATAAAGCAGCCATCTCTAGGGCCCGCACAGGAATGCTCGGGGAGCGCACAGCGGCGGCAGGTGCTACAATGGACCCAGGCTGTAAGAGAAAAACTGAGTTTCAGAAGGGGTTCATTAACATGATTTTTCATTTCATTAACTTCTGAGGTAGGCTACAGGAATAATGTTTACTTCAAATACTGTAGCTGGTGGGCTTAGCTCATTTTAATTTGGCGAAAGAGAGCAAGGTGAAGTGTTTGAATCCCACATAAACCAGTAACTTCTGTTATAAAGCAAACAAATTCATCATGTGTTGAATACACATACAATACATCATGAGCTGACAGCAGCTGCCACACACAGTAGAGGCTGGCTCAGAGGCACAGTGCCCAATGGAGCCAGATGCCACACTGACAGAGGCGAGCAGTCAGCTTTCCCCGTGAAAGACATGTGTCCACGTAATTACAAAAGTCAATGTCGGTCTCCTTTTATGAATATAATAAAAATTCTATTTACATGAACAGAACTGAGAATGTTTTCCTGGGATCGCAGACACTTACAAGGCTTTACACACTTTCTGCAGAGAAAGCAATGGCTCCACTTCCTGCCATCCTACAAAAACAAATTTTAAAACGTTCAATTTGTGATAAAAGCCAAGTTCCACAATTAAAAATTAAAATGTCTTATTAAAATATGTGTAAATTATTCATTCCCTATTTCTCCCTTTCCTGGGCTTCACAATTAAACACTCTGATTCTAATTTATGCATTTCTCCACTTAACTCAAAGGCCTCCTTGATGGGCCTCAATTTCCTTAACTATGAAGCTAGATTTATCCAAATGATCTTGAAAATCCACTCTGCTTCAAGCCATCCAATCTTCACAAGGAAGGACGCAAATGAAAATTTCAAGAGAATTAATGATTCCATAATTTTATGTTCTCTATACTACATAGCCCTTAATGAAATTCATATTTGAGAGCTTCGTGTAATTTAGCGAGATAGATTACAGGTTACTACTTGAGTTGTTTTTTTAAAAAGTGAAATAAAACATGCCTAGAAAAGTACATTCAATACATATGTGCACTTTTTGAATATTAAAGTAACTACCTATCAAGATTTGGGGCCTCTTGAGCCCCGACAACCTCCCGGCATGGCTTCTCACCACAGCACCCCTCCTTCCCACTGGATAGACCTGCTCTGAGTTTTGTGACCCTCATTTCCCTAGCCACCCATTTGCATATTTCTAAAAAGTTTTTTCTCCCTCAATTTTAAACTTTATACAACCTGGGCACAATACAAACCATTTCTAAATTAATTGAAAATAGTTGTATGAACCTAACCTTTTCTTTGGAAAATGATTTGTGCTGTTTAGAAAAGTTAAGCTCCATAAGTTCTTTCTGGGTAAACTGAGTGAAGATGAGCACAGTGGCTGAGAGGTCATCCTCCTGTCTCCTTAAAAATAAGCAGGAAGCTTGGTCATTATTGCTCCAAGTAGGAAGCAAGCAAGATGTCCTTTGGTAGGTGAATGGTTACAAACTGTGACACACCCAGACAACGGCAAGTCGTTAACAAGAATGAGCCATTTAGTCACGGAAATACAGACAGGCGCTTCAGATGCCATTTCAGGTGAGAAGCCAGTCTGAGAATCAGTGCGCATGCTGTGTGACTCCAACATTATGACTTTCTGGAAAAGGTAAAACTCTATAGAGACAGTAAGATCAGTTGCCCCGGGTTAGGAAGGGAAGGGTGGCCAAGCATTGCACAGAAGACTTTTAGGGGACAGAGTGAAGTCACTCTGGATGACCCCACAGTGGCAGAAGCCAGCCATTATATACATTCATCCACTCAAAAGAACGCACAGCACCAAAAGTGAACCTAAAGTAAAACATGGACTCAGGGGTGAAAAATGAGTGGGTTCATCAACCGCCACCCGAGGTATACTCCAGTCCCAGACACTGATGAAAGAGGGCTGTGCAGGGAATAGGAAGGATTTACGCATCTCAGTACCTTCTGTTTCACTGCAGCAAATCTAAAGCGCTTTCAAAAACAAAGGCTCTGGAGAAAAACACAAGAACTAAGCCCATAAACAGGAGACAGGTCTCTTGTTGTGCGGTAGCTGTAAAAAAGCAGAGAGTAACCACCCCTACTTCCCGGGGGCTATTTGAGGACTACAGTGTTAACCCTGCAAAGCTCTCGGGAACAAGACTAGTACATAAAAAGTGCATAGTACATGTTACTAATCATGACTTCATCAGAGCGGCAATGCTATCTAATGGTCCAATGCCTGATTTGAAACATCGTAATTTTACCCTTAACAGACATAAATTCAGCACTTAGTGCCTTATTTGAAACACTCTTGGTAAGTACCATATGAAAATGATTGAAATAGCTATTTACAATGATGAAAGAAATTAAGTACCTTAAAAAGCCTGCTTTAGGGCTGGAGAGATGGCTAAGTGGTAAAGGCATCACCAAGCCTGATGACCTGAAATTGATTCACAGAACTCACATGGTAGAAGGAGAAAACCGCCTCCCCGAGTAGTCCTCTGAGCTCCACATGTGCCTACACATATACACCTTCCACACACAAGGTATTTTTAAGCCTACTGAATTTTTAATTAGAAATAAGGTACTACTATATTAAGATATAAGAGGTGATAAACATGTAAATTCAAGTAGTAACAAAACACTTTTCTCTCCAGACAGGGTTTCTCTGTATTTTTAACTCTATCTAAAAGGCTCCATAAGAAAGTCTGCTTTGCTGTCCTGGAACTCACTCTGTAGATTAGGCAGGCCTTAAACTCACAGAGATCTGCCTGCCTCTGCCTCCCAAGTGCTGGGATCAAAGGTGTGTGCCACCATCACCAGGCAACAAAACATTTTAAGAGTAATAAAATTATCAAACTAACATATAACAAACACTCACATAAAAATATTTCACATAAAAGAGAACTATACCTTGGATGTGCAGGAATTACAGTGCACACAGTGCTGATTCTCAAGAGAAACATATCTCTGACAGAGGGAGCAAAATCTAAAGAGAGAAACAAAAAAAGGAGCTGCATGGATTCATTGAGATTCACAGAGCAGACAAAAGTGAACAAGGTTCTTGTTCCAAAAATTGGAGGTAATCAGAATTCAATTCTATGTGAAATTCTGGACCAAATCTAAGAGCAATACAAGAACCAACTGATTCAATATTGAAAGCATTTTACTGTTAGGTACACAGAATTGCATTTTCAGATGACCTGTGAAGTTCAAAGTGGTCTCACCTGTACCCTTCTTCTGCAGGAAGGGTTATTTTGTTGGGTGGAATGTTGGTGAAAATCCGCACAGGAGACTGTTTTCGACCTGTCTTTCCATGTTTGTAAAGTGTGTGATTATCATAGTCTACCTAAGAAAGTAAACAGAAAATTCACTCAATGAGCCAACATTCTCTAAGACCCTTTAACCAATAAACATCTGATGCCAAGATACAGTCTGAAGCAAGCAGCAAATAAGAAACTCCTAAAAGTACTCACCACCAACCTCGAGAGGCCTCCATGGCAGGGGCATCTCATTACAACAAGGGTTAGATGTGCTACAACACACTCATGTTGGTGGGCCAGGGAAATGACTCTAACTCTATCTAAAAGGCTCCATAAGAAAGTCTGGTTTGTAATGAAGAACTTTATTTCTGATGCTAAAAACAAGGCCTTCATTTGAAGATGCCAGTGTCACTGAGATGTTCCGCTTCCTTGGAGAAACGTTTGTCATTTACCAAGTCAAAGCGCGTCCTCAGTCTGGCCTTCCACCCATGACTTGTCGTTTACTTTGCAATGGACAGAGGTTAGGTGTCAGACGAGGGCTGTGACTCGTTAGATGACCTTAGACAACCTTGTGAATGTTTTTAAACTGTAAAAGGGGTCACGGATCCTGACGCTAAGAGCTGCTGTGAGGGTCGACACTTAGCCCAGAGTCTGGTATAAGGCAGAAGATGAGGTGAGTGCACTTGTGCTTCTGCTCCACACCAACAGTGACCTTCTCTAACGTCGGAACTTGGCATTTCAGCTGATTATCTGGACAGGCCAAAAAGCATTGTTTTATACTCAAAATTCCCTGTCCTCCTTCAGCCTATTACCCACACACATTCTCAGGGTGGCTTTTGGTCTGCTGTAAATCCACGTAGCTACTAAATCTGTTTTTTTTTGTTTTTTTGTTTTTTGTTTTAAGCTCAGTAATACTCAAAGTGTTTGAGCGACATCAACGTTACCCAGGTACCGTCAGAAGTGCAAATGTTTACTCAACCTAGCACCAACTGCATCAGAAACTTTGGGAGTGGGGCCCAGCAGCTGGTTTTAGCAAGCCCGCCCGGCACACTCAAGTTTGAGAAGCACTGGTTTAGATCACCCCCAAGAACGCCAGGAGATGGTTATGAGCTCAGGACAGCTGGATCCTAACTCCCATATGATGTGTAACGAACTGTTTTGATTAGAAACAGGATACCATGATAAAAGATTGTTTATAAATAAACAAACAAACAATAAAAAAGAAACAAGGGTACACACAGGAAGCTGGAACAGACCAGGCTTGCAAGCTACCTATTTAATAAATGAAGCCCAAACATGGAGGGAAACCATGACAGAGAAATAGGTGTTTTTTAAAAGTAATTTTTAAAATGTACTCTTAGATTATTCATACATGTATACAATATATCTTGATCACAGCCTATTCAAAGGAAAATTCTCTTTTCATTCCCTCTGACCCCATCACAATGCTCCCTCCTCCCACTTTCATGTCCTTTAAATACATAGACCCTCTGAGTCCAATTGGAGCTACCTGCATGTCTGCATGTACACAGGTCTGAGGTCATCATTCAACATGGACAATCTACCAGCAACTACACCCTGGAAGGAAAATGACTCCCAGTCTTCCAGCAGTCATCGGTGGCCACTAGCTCCTTGGCTAGGGAGAAGCCGCCCTCCCACCACGGTAGGATGCTGACAGGCCTTGTACTCATCATGACTGCTGTGGGTCATGAGTGCTCTGGTCAGGCCATGTCCAGAAAAACACTTCCCAGCACTGCTCCCAGCCTCAGACGCTGCACTCTTTTTACTCCTTCCATGGTGTTTCCTGAGCAGGTCAGGAATGTTAATAATGTGCACGTCCCACTTCAGGGAACCCAGGGGGAGCTGGAGAAGGAAAGCGCAGCAGTGGTTACGGCCAAATACATCATGTGAGAGCACGTCAGGACCCATCCCAGGCGCATGAACTGGGTTGGGAGGAGTGGCTGGGTCCTGCCTCAAGTTGGTATCCCAGACCTTGTTGACTCCCCAAGGCAGGCTTTACACCCTCTCAAGAGTGGATGGGGGATGGGAAGGGGAGAGATGGGGGGGGCGGAAGAAGGGGAGGGAGGAGGAACTGAGGTAGGTATATAAGATGAAAAGTAAATTTTTTAAATAAAAAATATGAAAATAAAGAGATTCTCAAAAGAATACATTTTAAAAATTACATATAAAGTTCCATTTAGAGAGAAGTGCCTCAGAGGTCCCGTGGATCTAAGTCTTGCTTCAACAGTATTTGGATGGAACAGAGCCTAGGACTCCCTCTTTGCTGACTTCCAGCTGCCTTTCAGTCTTTCCACTTGCTTGAGGACCATCTCCTCGCCGCCTGCAGCTCCCAGGACCAGCCAGTTGTCTCTGTGGTTAGTCACGACCTAACCTACGGATCAGTCACGCCTCCCAGATTCATCAGAATTACTCCACCAAAGTGGAGGCTGCCGTGAACCGCCTGGTCAACTTGTACCCATGGGCCCCCTACACCTATCTCTCTCTGGGCTACTATTTTGATCAGGGTGACATGGGTCTGGAGGGTGTAGGCCACTCCTTCCACTGGCCGAGGAGAAGGGTGAGGGCACCAATTCAAGGTGCAGAATAATCGCGGGGTGCACTTCTCCGGGGTGTGCAGCAGCCATCTCAAGACGGGTGGGATAAAACTCAGGAGGCCACAGAAGCTGCCTTGGCCCTGGAGAAGAACCCGAATCAGGCTCTTGGACCTGTGTTTCCTGGATCCTGCCTGCACAGACCCTCACCTCTGTGACCTGTTGGAAAACCACTTCCTGGAGGAGGAGATAAAACTCATCAAGAAGATGAGACACCACCTGACCAAGCTCCGCAGGCTGGCTGGGCTACAGCCAATGCAGACAGCAATGCCCCAGCCATCTCTGGGCACAGTGTCTCTTGGAGCGGCTCACTCTCAAGGACTAGGAGGCCTTGCCTTCCAAGGGGCTCCCTTCTCTATTCTGCACCACCAGACTGAGGACCTCCACTGGAACCTTTCAAGCCACTAGGCAGCTTTGTAACTGGCCTGGAGTTCCCACCCCCAAAGTCATGGATCAAGTAAAATGAAGTTTTTTGAAATACCAAAAGAAAAAAAGTTCCATTTAGGGCTGAATATTTGGTCTCCACACTTCAACCAACTGTTAAGGGCCAGGCTTTTAATGGTTAGACCACTTGACTCTCTCCACAGCTCAGGTTTAACTTAGTGTTACCAGATTTACAAGTAAATGCACTCCCTAAGGCTCACTAACAAGCGCCAGCAGTGAGCAGAAGCTAAGTAGATAAGCTGAGGGGAGGGCAAGGGTCAGGTGAAAAGCCCCCATGGTTTCTGACTGGCTGCCAGCAGGGGCATCCTCAGTCATGCCTTACGGTCCATGAAGGTTGGCTGGAGACCTCTACTTATGCGCAGCATCCCAACAAGGGGAGACTGAGTTAGACATCATTTGCAGCCCTATGCTAAGTTCCCACATTTTAAGCGAGACACTGATAAAACCGGCTCATTTCTACTGAAAATAATAGCAATGAATAGGATTTATAGTTTAACAAATTGGGGATGTTTGTTCAGAAAAGACAGGGAGGGACTGACAGCTAGTTCATAACTGAAGGGTATCATATGGAATAGAAATTAGACTTATCCTTTATTGCCTCGGAGAATAGAACCAGGAGCAATGGTTAGAAGTTAATGGGGAGCATATTTTATCTCAATATGAGAAAATTCTCTAACGATTAGAGCTATTAAATAAATTGAGTTGCCTTGTAAGGCTTGGGACTCTGCGCCCCGAGAGCACCCGAGTGAAGCCAGAGGAGTGTCTGTCATGAATTTGGCAGAGAGGATTATTACATGGGGAAGTCAGCCCAGGTAACCTCTACGTTTCTTCCCAACTTCCAAAATCCTTTGAATATATGTTACCTATTAGAGGCAAGACACGAAAATAGATTGTACGTAAGAAACCAGCCTAAAACAGTAGCTGAGGTAGTTTTCTTTAAAAGGGATCTAAATTGATAATGTTTCCCCAGTGCACTCCTGTGTGAACTTGAATACATGTGGCACCTTATTAAATTCAACAAAAGATATTTTGCCTGTAAACTTACGAGTGTCGTAAGAAAAACCATTCTTCCCAAGAGAATCTTATGAAAATTTTCAAACGCTGGAGAGTTAAAGGGTGGGAGACGTCTACTGTGCGGGACGCTCTGTGCACTACGACAGCAGATGGAGGGGGCAGTTTCTTTATGGTTTCCCAAGGAGCCGGAGAATGCATGTGTCAGGAAGGTGGCTGATTGCTCGATTTTGCATAACCTAATTGAGATTATTATTATTTTTAAATGCGGGTTTGTTGTGCTAATTAACTATAAACATATGGTATGTAAAACGCATGCTGCTAGAGTAAATTAATGTACCTCTAACATACATCCATATTTCATAGCTTCATCCACACAAATAAACCTCCCGTGGAAGTGCTGTAAAGCAAACACAATTTTGCAAATTGCCTATCGCTAGTGCTTGAGCTGATCCACCATGTTCCCATCATTATCCCTGACATCTCCCTCACAATGATGATGAGAGGCATTTTCAAAGGGAAAATTTCTCCCACAGAACTGATTAATGTGATGAAGTACTGTATAGAAATGAGGGAAAGCACAAAAATCTCTGCAATTCCCAACTTTTAATTTGAGCCATACGCAAATATCTCCCGCAATATGAGACTGATACTAGTTACATGGAACACTGAGGCCTTAGAGCAATAATGTTGTACCTACTGTGTTCCAGGCAGTATGCCAGGTCATCCTAGCACTTGTACAACCTGAGGACTATGCTCTGTCGTTTCACTAAGGTCTCGAGATCATGCCTCAGCTCCTCCACGGTCAGCCTTGTAGTCATAACCTCACATCCTTGGAACCCTGACTTAAAATTCCCACATAGACCTCATCCTGCTTTTTACTCAATATCTTCTAAGTCTTTATTATACACGAATTTCAAGAATGTAATTGCCTTTGTTTTCCTTTTTTTTTTTTTTTGAAACAGGGTCTCACTATGTAGTTCTGGCTGTCCTGGAACTCACTCTGTAGACCAGGTTGGCCTGGAACTCAGAGATCTGCCTGCCTCTGCCTCCCAAGTGCTGGGATTAAAGACATGCCCAAGTTGACACCTTTTAATATTCAATAATTTCTCAAAATTCCTATCAAAATATTTTCTTTTCTACTGTAAAAAAAAATAAGCTAGAAAAGGTTTACTACACAGGCTGATTATAAAAAAATAGCTTTGACAAAGCAAATAGCTCTACTTTCAACACATAAAATGCATTCCATGTTAGGATATGAAGAGACACAAGAGAACATTCCAGGAGGGTTGAACTGTGAAATCATCTCATTGGGATGTGATAATCACATGAACACGGCCACTCCCTGACCCAGCTCCTAGCTCTTCACCTTTGGCAGACATCACTAATCAATCCTGTTAGCTTGTCACACGAGCCTGGCATTCTCTGAATAGATCTAGACAGTCACTACTAGAGGAGACTCAGGCTCAGCGATGCTGCAAGGGAAGCCTGTCTGCCGCCCCTCTGCTCTTCCAGGCATTTACTTTACAGGTGAACCACAGAGATCTGGAAAGCCCAGCTGGTCATCCCAGGTCCCACAGGCAGGCTGGGACCCAGTCTTCTAATTCTAAATTGGAATTCACCTCCTTCCTAATTCACCCTTTATGAAGTTGCAATTAGGTTTCTCAGTTTCTGATAACTATTTTATTGTCTGTTTATCAAGTACTTAATCGCTGAAGTCCTCATGATTTATATTTCATGAAGGTTTGCAGCATTTGAGCCATCCACTTATCTGAAAAGTACCCTCCCTAACCCTAAAAAGAGATTCAGTGATTATGGCATTTTATTTTAACTTTTGTACTATGTTGTAACTTGGAGTCTTATTGTGACTTTGGTGATGGTTGGGGCAGGGTTGGAGCTATGTGAAAAGACTTGCAATGGAGGACAAGAGACACGCAGTTTTCGTTTGCTTTAGATTTGTCTGCAGTGCTGGGGATTGAACCTGCGGCCTCAGGCATGCTATGTTCTGTCTTATTCTCATTCTTCTTTCCAGTGGTTGGCTTCTGTTTTATGAAATTCACTGCTTTGCTCCCAGACAGATACATGTGCTCTAACCTGAACATTTTTTTAAATAACATAGTGAACTGCACTGTTTCCAGTAAGCTTAGGCTGTCAACTATTCCCCAAAGCCCTTTCCTAATGACACAGGCAGGCTAAGAAAGTGACATGAAAATGTCACGCTACATTAACATAACTTGTCTACCCCATTAAAGAGCTGCCTTCTTTTGCCCCATCACCATTTCAAATTCTTGCTACTTCTCTGTATACAGATGCACCCACCTTCCAGGTACCTGTGTTATCCAATCTTAAGTTCACAGATATACAGGGGGGGAAAAAAGGCTAAGAAAAAGTTCTGCCTACCTTGGGACTACCTGAACGATGACCGTGCTGATAACAACAGCCTGGACTCTACGAGTATGGAGACTGGCTCCACTGTCCATACATCACCTCATTGTAGCTACTACATCACCATCGCCATCACCACATTCAGTTCACAGACAGGGAGCGCTTCAGAGAACCTAAGCAGCTCAGTCAAGACCAAGACCCAGACAGCCTCGGCGCTAGGGTCTGTGCTCTTTTTCATTCAATCATTTGAAATATACGGGACACCTACTGTGTGCCAACCGTCACACCAGGGCACCACTTCCTCCAAAGGCAGCAGGTGCCACTGAGACTGGAACCAGTTTAGTTAGTGGACGTCTTCAGATTAAGTCAGTTGTGTCTGCATTGCAAATGCCAATTCTAGAAACAGCCCTCCCTCAAACAAGAACAAAACCCTGCAAGTGAGAAACAGCTGTGGAGGGAACCATGATGTGGGCTATATTTTACCTAGAAGTCGAGGCTGAAATGGCTTACACTACCCACTTTTGGAAAGGACCCTGTTAATATGGCTCAACAGCCATAGAAATGCCAACCACACCTGAGAAAATAATCCAATTTTCAAAATTTCTACTATGGAAAACTTCTATGCGTCAGAAATGCTTACAGTAGTTTTATTTATAGTGCCTTAAAGACAGAAGAAACATAAGAAAGAATGAAATGACAGCAGTCAGTTAAGGACGTAATTAGAAATTATTAAATAACGATTATATAGCTACCTCTAAAAGTATGTACCTTTAAGAACAGAGAAGAATTCCAGAAAGTCTTTTAAAACTGGCATTGCAGGTGCAGCCGCCCCCCCACCATCCCTTCCATATAATCTTCACGACGGCATGTGCCTTTGAGAGCAGACAGATGACAGACAGCGCTGTCTGGCAACAGCTGGGAAAGACGTTTACAATTTCATGGCTGAAAACTTCAGTCAATTATTCAGACACTCAAAAGGAAAAATGTCTGTGTACAAAGAAGAAACAGTGCTAACTTGGTGAACACACCAAGTAATGGGGACGAGAGGGTTAACTTCAGAACTCCAGGAAAGAAATAAGTTGAGGGGCAGAGTGGAACTTTCTGGGCCTTGCCCTGTATTTAATCTCCGGCAGTGCCAGGAGAGATGCCCACACACGATCTCGCTGCTCTAGACACCCCACTGCTTTCCGACAACCTGTGACCGCAGCACAGCAGCATTCCCATTGGTGGTCCTGGGGCTGGTGCTGACATCAGTTCATCTAAGACCCTAGCTGCAGTCTGCACTCACCTGGGGTACTTGAGAAAGCATTTTTTTTGGGGGATTTATTCTCTGATTTTGTTTGGCAAGGGTGTTCTGTTTTGTTTTGAGTGTGAATACGCAAGAATCTGTATTTTTAGCAACTATCCTAGAAGTTGCAGACATTGGGAGCCAGAACTAGCCTATACACAGTATAATGTCGTTGTTCAAAACACTTTAATTTACCAAAATCAAAGGCTAGTCTTATCAGGCTATCCCAGCAGCACAGCCATCCCCAGCCACAGAAGACAGGGGTTACTATACCTGGTAATCCAGCATGCGGAAGCTTGGAAAACACTGGCAAATCCGGGACTCAAAAAAATAGGGGAATATCCAGAAAATGGGCAGTTCTTTGTGACTGTCATCTAGTGAATCACACAGGCAAAAAAAATGGATACATAAAAGAAAATAAGAAATCGATTCTAAAAACAAAACTAAAGTTTTCAATAGACATTTCAGTTGTTCAACACATATATCTGTCATACAGAAAGGGAATTCTTACAACACTGCCATTCTGCCTTGAGCGTTCCCAAAGGTTAACGGAAATATCACATGTCTAAAACAAGGCACAGCCTTTACTGTTCTGATTCGTGATCGCAAGAGCAGCAAACAATAAGTGGTGGTTAACTATGAGCCATGTTCAGAATCCCCTGAAATTCTGTCCCTGAAGCACACCACTTACAGCTCAGCTACTGGAGAGCCCTGACCACACGCCCCGACACTCGTGGAATTTAGCAGCTCACAGGCTAGCAGCTGCATCTAAAACTGAATGAACTCACTAATGGGATAATGGAACAAAACACTCTGAAGTCTCCAGGCACTTCAAACTGAGAGAGTCCCCCTTGTTAACCCGCCTCTAGAGCTGGAAGTCTAAGTATCCTGTCACTGTTGATTGCCCACTTCGTGTCCAACCTCCGTTTAAGTCATGCTGAAACTCAAGGCTCTGGGCCTGAGGTTGATAATGTTCTGGTTGGTGTTTTTGACAACTTGGCATAAGCTAAAGTCATTTGGGAAGAGGGAACCTCAAGTGAGCAAATGTCTCCATGAGATTGGCTGCTGAGGTATTTTCCTGGTTAATGGTTGATACGGGAGGGCAGACAATCGTGGACAGTGTCGCTCCTGGGCAGGAAGTCCTGGGATGTATAAGAAAGCAGGATGAGCAAGCCATTTGTGTGTGTGGTGGTGGTGGGGAACCAGTAAACAGCCTCCTCCATGGCCTCTGCATCAGCTCCCACCTCTAGGTTCCTGCCTTGGCTTCCCTCACTGGACCGTGATTCAGGACGTGTAAGTCAAATAAACCCTTACCTGTCCAAGTTGCTTTTGGTCATGAACTTTATCAAGGCAACAGAAAAACTTTAGGGACAGGAAAAGTAAGGGCCACAGAGCTCATTAATCTATTCTTAGTATCTAAGCGGCACCTGCACACAGTGGCCACTAAGCATTTTTGAACAAATGACGGCAACTAACTGTTGTGCTCCATAACCTTACAACCGTGTTACTGAGAAGCCATTCGAAAGCATGAGTAGGGTAAAAGGAAGTGTCCCAGGATCACGGAGTTTGCCATGATCAAATCAACACACTTTTAACAAGAGTTTGGGAGCTGCATACTGCATCGGTGCTGTCTTGGTTAGTATTGACAAGAAGCAGATACATAAACCCATGCTCATTTTACAGCAATTTAAAATAATAATAAAAAAAAGGTACCTTGGCTTTGACCTTCTTTCCACAAAGCAATTAACTTTTTGAATGTAATAGCCAGAGGTTCAACTAAGCCACCAAAAGGAGGGTCTGTCACCATAATCACTCCTTCACCTTCCTCTTCCTGTAAGAATGCCTTGCACACTTCAAGGGCAGCCTGTAACAAATAAAAAGTCATTTCTAAATTAGAACCAGAGAGCAGCCCTTTATCCTACTGGGAGAATGCATTAAGCTTGGTCTCTCTTAGGACTGGAAACGTCACCAAGTCACCCTGCCACTGCCGAGTCCCTCAGTGACATCCAAAGTCTCTCTTAGTCACTCACGTCAGATTTTATCTTTGGGTCCCTGGATAAGCAGGTTTTTAAATTGCAAATTCAAATACCATCACTATCAGACAACTACACATTTCAAATAGTTAAATTAAAGAACTAAATTTAGTAACCCAAAAAAGAGAAAGCCGTCACCCGTGAAAACAACCTACACATTCAATTCAGCAAACAGGAGCAGAGGCGGTGCTGAGCCTCGAGGACACGAGGGGGTACCAACTGCGGTTTTTGCTGTCTGTCTTGTCTACTGTCACAAGTTCAGCTGAAGAACTGCTTTGAGTCAGCAGGTAAGCATGCACACTCTGAGTACTGGCGAGCAGCACACATAGCTGAGCATACACAGCAAGTAAATAAAGGAAGTCCATAAACGGCAAACCCCATCTGGTCCTGGAAACTGCACCAGTAACACACTTTCCCACCAGCTTGCTAGTGTTTCCAGGAGCTGCCAAACTAATCTCAGCTGGGAGGTTTACCAGTTTCTGCTCTGAGCACCGTTGACAGCTACATCTATCATAGTACCACTATGATGCTACTAGTTAGTCTACTGACTTGGAAGCAGTTTGCAAATCAAGACCTTCAGTATTAAAAAAGCACAAGCTTTCAAAGTTACATGAACTTTAGACTTTATCTAGCCCAGTAATGCAGCATCAAGGATGCAAACCCACTTCCTCAGCCATTACTCTAATCCCATGCCTCCCTGCCCCCCTATCAAATGGTCACCAACCACCCCATCAGTCCCCACTAGCCACACCAACACAGCACCTCTAGGCCTCACTCCTCCCCTTGCCCTGTATTCTTCAGAGCAGTCCACAGAGCAGGCTGGCCTTGACTGCCATCCCCCTGCCTCCTTCCCGTCACTAGCCTAGCTAAGAAATGCTGGTAGGTGGCTTCAGCTCCCATCCTCCTCTACACGGATGGAATCAGTTCTCAAATGCAGAGATGCCTTTGGGAAACAGTGGCACACACCTAACTCTAACTGCTGTTCATCGCGACCCTTGAGTTTGCTGGCTCTCATAGCTGAGATACATCTCATGGCAAACTGATCCCATTGGATGGAAAACTATGTTTGCTACATCACAAGACTAACGTTTCAATCCTAACCAATAACTTAACATTTGTGCTCATGTCCTGAAAGCTCCGTTTTCATTGCATCGCTAGCTAAGATCTCAGAGGACAATACAAAGCTAAGCATGAGTTCCAGTTCTAAAACGACCGATTGACAATACACCTCCAGGGAAGCTTCAAACTGTTGCTAACATCCAAGCCTGACCTCCTGTCAGGTGTGACTGCTTGGTTAGATTTGGCTCAAGGACTAACGAGAGCTGCAGCTAGGAACAGTCATGTACGTGGTCTGATCCGTTTCTCCTCGGCGATGTTAGAAACAGCACCTTGAAAGCTGCCTTTCCCCCGCAACTTTTCTCTTTGTTAGAGCTTGTTTGTCTGTTTGTTTAAATTTATTTTGGTTTTAGCCTTGGCTACCTGGAACTTGCTTTGTAGACCAGGCTGGCTTCAAACTCAGAGATCTGCCTGCCTCTGCCTCCTGAGCGCTAGGACTAAAGGTTTAGTAAGCCAGCATACCCAGCTCTTACTTATTATTTTAATAACAACTTTAGGTCATGGAAAAGCAAGAGAAAGGTACAGAGTTCACACAGAGTCCCTGCCTTGAATATGCATTTAATTACAGTATGGTAGAGAATGAAGGAGAAGTTGCCCTTGCTAGGGGTTCAGGGGAGGCTGGAGGAAGTGATCTGGAACAGAACTCTAAAAGTCATCAAAGCAAAGAAGCCGGGGACCAGATGGGGCAAAGGCCCTGTGGGGCCACTGGACTAGCTGAAGGTGTACAGCGCGCATCCTCAACACAAACAGCAAGGCCAAGGCCAAGGACAGGTGAGGCAGGAAAGGTTAACGGAAGTCAGAGCACACAGCGCTCAAGTGTAATTTCTGCACTTAGAAGGCAAGGGCAGGAATATTCCCTTAAGTCCGGGCCAAGCTAACCTATTGTGCGTGGTGAGTGGCAGGCTAGGCAGACTATATAGTGAGACGCTGTCTGAAGGAAAATCGTGAAAATGGAGCAGTGGTTCCCTCCTAGCTGCTCAATAATAGGCAGTGAGGGAGACCGGCATAACTCAGAGGTAGAGCACCTGTCTAGCACACCCGAGGCCCTACATTCCATCCCCAGCACCACTAGACAAAAACAGGGAAGATATACTAAAAAATGATTACAAAATAATTATATCAAAAAGGTACTCTTGAATTTGTTAATCAACAATAACAGAAGAAGGAGAAGATGGCCACAAATCTTACCTTTCCATCAAAGAAATAATGGTTGAACATGTTGTAGCGGCAAAAGCTGTCTTCCAGGTAAAACTGCGAATATCTGTAAAGCAATTCATTACCAAATGACGTACCCAGGCACATAATATAGCAAATATACAAACATTAAACTATGTTTTTAAACCCCCAAATCACATTTTGATTAAATAAATTTCATCACCCTTAGTTTTTTAAAAATAAAGAATACTTTACAAAAAACCTTAAGTGAATCTGTAACAGTACATACTGAATTTATTTTCTCAAGTAGGCCACTGTAAAACCAAAGAATAATCATACATAAAGGATACAGGTTCCAAGTAGGCTGATGGCACAGGCCTGGAAGTCCAGTATTTTGGGAGGTTGAGGAAGGAGGACTGTAAGTTTAAAGTCAGCCTGGGCTACAGAGTGAGTTCAAGGGGAACTTGGGGAGACTCCTTCTCAAGTAACAAAGTAAGGGCTGCGAGTAGGGCTCAGGGACAGAGCACCTGCCAGACTGATATTCCTGAAGCCCATGTTCAACTCTCTGAACCACAAAATCAGCAAACAAGACACATGTTCTTATGGACCAGACCACCACACACAAACGACTGGGCTAGACATATCGTGCAATGTAAGTCTGTGGTGTGTTTACATTTAAGATATGTCTCTCCTGGTTAGTAGTTTCTTAAAATCTTATTTTTAATTATGTGTATGTGTGTGCATCTATGTGTATGGGTTTGTGAGAGGTGTCTAGCCTCTGGAGCTAGGATTGTAGGTGTTTGTGTATGTGTGTGTGTCCATGTGTATGGGTTTGTGAGAGGTGTCTAGCCTCTGGAGCTAGGATTGTAGGTGTTTGTGAGGTGTCTGATGTGGGTTTCTGCAAGAGCAGTATATTTCCTTCTGAGCCGTCTCTCCAGTTCCTCATGGTTAATCAACTTAAGGAAATATTAAGTCAACATTTCTGTTCAACAGCTATTATTTCTTCTGTGATTAACAAAAAAGCACTTAATGTAAAAGTTTTCCTTGTCTAATACAAATTAGTTTAATAAAATATATTTCTCAATATAATCCTGAAAGAAGTATGAACATATAGTGTTTGCTGAATTTGTGCCAGGAGAGAAGAATATTTATTTAATGAATGAATTATTCTATTCTAATCACTACTTTAAAATGCCATCAAAAATGAATCAGAGTACCAGCTTTGGGAATTAACATTTTATAATTTATTTTTGTTTTTTTTACTAATTTGCTAAGAAAACCTCATTCTGCATAATGGTTTAAGTTTATATTTACTTAATTATGTAGAAGGCCAAATCTTTGTTTCCCAGCTGAACTACCTGTTTCTTCATTTGTGTACCTGGGCCTTGCTGTCTCTATCACTGTCTCCTGAGGTTCTCACACAGAAACTTTTGATACTTCAAAAACTCTTGAGCTTTTTCTATCTTATTATAAATAATTCACATATGAACCACACCATCCTTGTTGGAAAGACTGACAAAACTAAAAGAATAAAAAAAATCAGAAATGCAGCCTTACTTTATAACCTCTTGAAAAACGAGGCAGTGGCACTGCTTGGAGCACGACCCCCGCTGTATGGAAGGGAACGGCACCCAGCGCGAGCGAGCGAGCGAGCGTTTCCTCCAGCGGCCAACCTGGCTCAGCCTCTTCTCATTTGCACTGTGGTAACAGCGCAGGCTTGTGGTCTGGTTAAAGCTCACCATCCCTTGTTTACTTGTAACCTTAGGAATCAGTCAACCTTCTTGAGCCTCAGTTTCTTCCTCAACTTGATTGAGCAAGTAAAACAATGATACATAGCACTCTAAAGTGTGTATTTACTTTAATAAATATTAGCCATAAAGACTTCTGTCTTAATGCCACCAATACTAAAAAAATCATGTTTTCATTCACCGTACCATAATCTAAACCCATTTTTCCTTGCTCCACTCACCACTCCTTAATGTTATTTAAGATGCGGTCAGCATATCTGCTGGTTTCATAAAATATTGATTTGCACTGAAGAAGTAAATAAAGGCTTGAGTGCCTTAGGAACTGTCAATCTACCATACTGGACTTAACGGCCATTTCCAAACCACAGGGCAGAGCCAATTACTATTAGTAAACAAACACATCCTCCAATCTAATTAAATTTCAGGGGTATTTTTCTGAAAGGGTCTTATTTGTTTGTTTATTTGTTTCCATCTTCTGAGACAGGATGACAACACAACATTCTGTAACTCAGACTGCCCTGGAGCTCACTGTAGCCCAGGCTAGCCTTGAACTCACAGTGGTCTTCCTGCTTCAGGCTCCCAAGTGACAGGACTATTCGCTTGCACCACTGTGCTCTACTCTTTATTGTTTAACCAATACTAGCAGAGAGCTGTCGACCTACTATCATTTGAGGGTGTTCTGTGCTTTAAGAAAGGGAAATACAATCCCCTTTGAATTTAGTCTCTAGTGTTTCATTGCTTCACAAAGGCAGAGTCAGTTGTAAAAATTGAAAAGAGGATTTGATTGACATCCAGCACAGCACACCTGGTCAAAGCGTCCTGGGCAGCAGTATGCTCAGCCAGAGTGGGGAAAGGCCAAGATTTCAGCCCTAAGTTTCCATCAAACACAAACAAGGGAACATAATTATTCATATTTTAAATTATAAAAAAAAATCACCCAACATTGCCCTCTTAAAATGAAATTGGCCAAAAAGAATTATTCTCTCCACTGAACAAGGCAAACAAAACCAATCAGAAAAGCATGCACTTGAAAACCACTCAGAAGGACATTGGCTTAATTTGGCCATTCATTCTCTTTAAATGAGAGTCATCACCAAGTGTGAAGCACGCTCTTCCACAGGAAATGTAATCAAGAGCTGAATAAAATTACTTCATAAATGAACCTAAGAAATTCATTTTTTGCTCTAACTTTATTTGGATAATAGTTTGCCAAATAGAGTCTCACATCTTTCATGCTAAAATTAGAGTATATAGAAACCATCTTAGCAAATGTTAACTTCACATCAGTCAGCCCCCACTATCTATAGCCCACTACAGAACACACTGCTGTTGAGGTACTTGGATAGCTTTAAACGGGCCTTTCATGGGGCAACAGGAAACTAGAGTGCCTTGAACTTATGGCAATTCTCCTGCTTCAGCCTCCTAAGTAGTAGGATTACAGGCATGAGCCATCAGGCCTAGCTACTGGAGTTTCTTGTGGGAGCTACCAATGTGACCTATGAGACTCACCTTCCAAGTACATACCCTTCCATCAGGTCCCAAACCAACCCTAAAGGTTCTACTACAACACAACTTTAGGAAAGAATGGAATACAGAGTTTTTAAAAAGAAATTGATGTCTCTATGCAATGGATGTCAAACAGTCACAAAAAGAAAGGAAATGCTGTTGTACACTGTATGTATAAACCTTGCAAACACAATGCTAACTAAAGGAAGTTAGACACAAGATCACTTACTAAAAGGGTCCATTTATAGAAAATGTCCAAAACAGGCAAACCCATGGAGGCAGCAAGTGGCTGCTGTCAGGAGCAGTGACCATGAGGTTTCTTTCCTGCAGATGGAATGCTCTACACAGGCACAGTGGCTCACAGCTGTAATTCCTGCACTTGAGAGGCAGATGGGGGTCTAAGGCACATATTCAAGGCCAGAGTGGACTATATGAGACCCTAGTATCAAAAAGCCCCCAATAAAGAAATAGAGAAACCTGCCCAACATACCACTGACTACCTACTGGAAACCAGTGAAACACACACCTCAAACTGGTAAATGATAATAATTACATCTCAATTTAAAAATAAAGCTGAGGGGTGGAGGGATGGCTCGGCAGTTCTGAGCTCATACTGCTCTTACAGAGGACCCAAGTTCAGTTTCCAGCACTCCATCAGCTCACAACCACCTGTGGCCCCGGCTCTGAGAGGTCTAATAATGCCCTCTTTGGGCCTCTGAGGGCACCTGCTCTCACATGCACATACCCACACAGACACACAGTTTTAAATAAATCTTTATAAAAGAAATCTGTATTACCACTTTGGGAAGGGTCGCTCCTGTTACACACAGACAAGTTCTGTCAGGAAGGGATAAGTGGTTAATGGGCCAGTCCTGTTCCTGTGGCTCAGCGAGCAGTTTGAAGAACCAGGACCTGCCGCTGCAGACAGTATAGTTGACTTGGAATTATAAAGAAAAATACATCATAAAATCTGTACTTCTGGAGGTGATGGGTGTGTGTAAGTGTGAAGTCAGGGCTTAACACAAGCAGTCTAGCAATCTTCCTCAATCAATTCTCCAGGGTCTCCTCCTGAATCTGGAGCTCACCTTCTCAGTGAGGCTGGCTGGCCAGCAAGCCCTAGGGATGCTCCCATCTCTGTCTCACAGTTCATTCCGTCATACCCACCTTTACCTAAACTCAAGGCCTCAGGCGTACATACCCCCCTACTCCCACTCTTTAACCCCTGCACCATCTTCCCAGCCCCGCAGCTTTGCTGTTTCATGTGACATTTTACACTTTAAGAATCTGCTTTGGGGGCTGGAGAGATGGCTCAGTGGTTTAAGCGCACTGCCTGCTCTTCCAGAAGACCCGGGTTCAAGTTCCAGCATCCACGTGGCAGCTCACAACTCAGTTCCAAAGGATCCAGTTCCAAAGGATCTAACACCCTCACACAGACATACATGTAGGCAAAACACCAATGTACATGAAATAAAACCAAATAAAAAATTAAATTAAAAAACAAGACTGCTTTGGAGCTGCACAGATTGCCAGTGTTTAAGAACAGTTCTTCAGTTCCCAGCATCCACATGGTGGCTTACAACCATCCTTAATTCCAGTTCTAGGAGATCTGATACACTCTTCTGACCTCCCTGGGTACCAGACACACATATGATGTCCATATTACATGCAAATAAAACACTTATACATATAAATAATTTTCTAAACCTGCCTTATTTGCAGGGAGAGAAAGCATATTTAATGGCATATATCCTAACAAATACTGTAGCACTGATCAAACACAAACTATGAGATCTAAATGAAAGACACAAAGCCTGATCCCTCTAATATATTCCACAATATGAGACAATAGTAATTGTCTCATAAAGTCTCTATGAGGCAGTACTCAAACCATTATAGAAACCAAGAGGACCATTTCAACTCTGCATACTCGAGCAGTGATGGACCTTGTACCATTTACACTGTAAGTCAGCACTGGGGCGCATCCCAACAGAAGTGCCATCCAGTGCTCACACATAGCTATCTCCCACAAACACACCTAGCCCTCAGCCAAGACCTGCCTACTCCAAGTTAGCCCTCCCGCCACTTTGGCTGCACCTAGGAAGCAGTGTGCACATCACCTGGTAAGACAGTATTTTTAAAATGTCTCATCACATGACCAAAATCTGAAGATAAAACAAAGTTCCAAAAATCTGAGCACAATGAGGCAGTTCAGTTTATCTGGGAGTATTATTACATTAGAAAAGACTGTACACAGGAGAAGGCATCTCCAATTCCGAGTCACATACAAGGAGACACATTCACAGAGGAGAATCAGCGACACAGTAGTAAAAAGAGAAACCAACTGCCAGCTTACGGGAGATCCCACAGGTTGACTTTGCATGACCAACAAGATGTTCACAACCTACGACTATGAATGTTGGTTAAAGAGTGTGACAGGTTATGAACGTTTAGAGAGAAAAAAAAACACAGAAAGAAATGAGACAATAAAGAAGAGATATTATATCATAAACCTACCGAAAATCAATATCCAATAAGAGGCTTTTTGTGCTGGACTTTTCACCTGGTGCTGCCAGTCTGATGTGCTCGTGGAGCCTGCAGGAAGTAATGAAAACCAATCTAATAAGAAACTACAAATGCCACAGACAATCATCAAACAAAACCCATAGCTGTTCTTCTCCCATCTCGGATACTTCAATGAAACACTGCAGAGAATCTGGACCAGTTTAGTTTTGCAGATACTTTTTAAAGGGCAGAACTTAACAGAGAAATCTAACATAAAACATTTCACTCTCAGATCAGAAAGCACCCACCCTACAAGGCTTCTCTCAAACGGGCTATGGGCTGCAAACCCTTTGAGAAGCCACACTTCCCATGTCCTCTTACATCCAGAGCTCACGCCCCACTCCGCACAGTACAGAACCACTTCATAACAATGTCTGTAAGGATAATGTAGGGCTGCAAGGACAACGTTTTAAAGTGGCTCATACCTTGGTGTTCCAACACATAGTACTCTTCTGAATCCAAGGGTAGCAAGGAGGCCTGCCAGAAACTGGCAGCTCCTATCGGTAAACAGGTATTGGGCATGTGTCTTCTTGTTCTCCAGTGGATAGAGCAGCTGACTGGGCCTTTGGAGCTGGGTGATGGAGATGTCAGACAGCAGCTGGTGTTCACCATGCTCCCTCCAATCCACAGGTAACAGCAATTGCTGGCAACTTTGACAGAACTTTCTTTGAGTCAAGGGCAACTGAATAAAACTCAGATACCTTCAAGATAAAACCAAGGACATGGGGTATGTGTTTTAACTTTGTTTTTGTTTATTAGGACAATGTACTTTGCTATTTTTAGTTTCCACAAAGTATTCTTGCTTCCCAAAGAGTATTGCATAAAGAAGCAAAAATAAGAAAAAGGATCCATGGAATGTTGGCCAGAATTTATGTCTGGCTGTATACCTCCAAAGTGGAAAAGAGTCAGCAATTTCATAAGAATTGAGATGCTCCAATTTAGTCACTGAATGAAGATCAATATCCATTTAAAATGTGAATATAATATATTACTCAAACAGTTTAGTAGTAATGGCAACTACTAGCACATTTAAATTTATTGACAAATCCATGTGCTCTAACTTTGACATGTTAAACAGTCTGGCTCAGTTGGCAGTCATTTTAAAATGAGAAATCAAAATCATTCTTCAAGTTCTTATGACATATTTAGCAAGAAAAATTACCTCCTAAAAGGAAAGATGTTCCGACTGAGCTCTCTGCTCTTAGCAATACTGACAGGGCTGTCAGCAGCCCCTCCCCAGGCCAGCAAGGCAGGACCGAGAGCCTTTAAAAGGACTATTCGGAGCCAGCTGGGGCAGCATAGGTCTGCAGCCCCAGCACCCACAAACCAAAGAGGAAGACCATGACTCCCAGGCCAGCCTGGACTAAATGGTAAGCCAGTCTCAAAAACCAGAAACCGGGTCAGTACTGGATACCCCCTCCCCCACTTATTTGTTTTCAAATGTGATTTCAGAGTTACTACATTTCCATTTCTTTTCTTTCTTCAATGTATTAAAGATTATTGAAGAAAACACAGTCATTATGTTACAAAATCAGACTAAGCACACAGAAGGAAAAGAAATGAGCAGCAGGTGTGAGTGCAAGCACTCGGCGCTGTGCTACAGGGTTCCTGCATCCGGCACGTCAACAGCATCAGTTGGGATCCGCATGGCAGAAGCTATAAAAGAGGAACCCAGAGAACATTAGAACTTTTTAAGCAGTTTCACTCCAAAGGCCCCAAGGCAGTGGCGAGTATTCTAAATGGTTACAGCACGAAATCAGCTGCTGCCTACAAACAAAATGTCTCTAGCCCCCTAAGGGCTCCTCTGACAGCTTCATCCTTGACTAAAAAGAAGAAAGAGAGGAAGAGATGAGGAAACTTCAGAGTGACACATAGTGAGGTCAGCAAGGAAGGACCCTAAGGCCCAGATGGCCAGTGGGAAGTCCAGCAGAGCCTTCAGCAGTCCTGGTGTGAAGTCACCACGGCTGCCTCTCCACCAGTGACGGACTCATGGAGCCCAGATTTACCATCTGACCCTCAAAAATCTGACAAAACATACAAAATAAGTTTTCAGATACTGTACAACTGATCCCCCAGAACAGTGACTGGAGGAAACAGAGGGAGGGAGGGAGCAGCTGACCGCACACTGCCTGGAAGGGGTGAGAAGACCATGACTGAAGTAGCCACATGGACCCCAAAAGAGCCTTGTACCTATGTGAAAAGAACATGGCTACCCATTGTGTTTATTAACTCTAGCACTGGGGTAGGGAAAACAGCAAAGACAGGCAGATCCCTCACAAAAATGACAAGGAGTCAACTTCCACGAAGGAAGCCTCGAGGTGACGTCTTCCCGAGGAAACCCCCATGTCATCCCCTAGTTATTCTTAGGTTTCATCTGCTGGAGTTTCCAGTCAACCTATTAGACAAAATAATGGGTGGACAGGGACATTAACATCTCCTTAATCACAGTCAGCACTGTCATATATGCACAAAGCCCTAAGAAAATCTTCAGATAGGCACTGAACTAGCAAGCAAACGTCTCCAAGCTGCAGAGCAAACGCTGATGTAGAAAGCTAACTGTACTCTTGCAGACTACAACGCCACGGCATTGGTCTCCAGTGCAGAAATAAACACACAAACAAAAAGGACAGAAGGGGAAGAATTCAACACGTATCTTTGTTCCCCACACAAGCTTCAACGAGGTGATCCACAGCAGTGGTTCCACAGAGCTATGCATTACGCAACGATCAGATTCTGCAGCCCTTCCTAAGCTCTAGGCAACAGCAATTACTGCTAAAGCACACCAGCTGAAAGACTGGTAGGTTTTAGATAGGCTAGCTAATATCGATCTTAATATCACAAAAGGGAACAACGAACCAGTCTGCCTTACAGTGCACAAAAAGAAGTAAAAGTAGGAAGGCCAAATCTAAAAGAAATCATCTAAAAGAGTTGGCTGTAGCTACTTCGAGCAAGAACAGTTCTTCTTGAAGCCTCAGGACTATTTGCTTCTCCTGCCTCAGACAGATCTATTAAGTTGAGATGGAATTCGCATGCCACACAACTCACCAGTTGCTGTGTGGTCAATGAATGGCAAACAGGGTATTTAAGAGTCATGCTACAATGCCGTAGCCTAATTCTAGATCATTTTCATCCCCACCAAAAGAAACCTCACCCCATTTGCAGCTGCTCCCCATTACTCCATCCCCAGCCTTGCCCACCACTAATCTACTTCTAGTCTCCAGGAATTTGTCTACCCTAGACATGTCACATAAATGGAATCACAGAGTAGCTACATACAGATTCTTATGTAAAACTTTTAAATAAAAGACTTGCTTCAAAATGGAAACTGCTTTGACTTTCAGCCAAATGGATCCATAAACAAGTCCTGCCAAGGGGACTATTATGGCACTGAAGCAAGTCACAGAATCAGAGCAAAGGTGAGGACAAAGGCTGCAACACAACACAGGAAGACAGGACAAACAGGAGAGAGGCTAGGACCAGCTGGGGTGCAGAGGTTTTGCTATGGAACAGTGTCTAGGCCAACATAAAACCTAAAACTAAAAGAGTCAAGTAAAAGAATTCTAAGACATATTCAAAAGATTCAAAGGTAACTAAAGAAAAAAATCAACTAAAATGAAAGAAATAAAACACAAGGAAGAAACAGATGGCCTTTTCTCATTTTACAGTGATGAAAGTCAGAGAAAGGATTAGACATGGCATCCAAATGTACAAAGGAGGGCAAGCAAGGTGACTTAGTACCTAGTAAGTCACAGCACTTGCCACAACAGCCTGGTGACTTGAGTCCCATCTCCAGGGTTCACAAAACCACATTGGAAGGGAAGAACCAACTCCCAGAAGTTGTCCCCTGACCTCTGCCTGTGCTGTGGTTCACATACACCTGCACTTACACACACAGAACATACAACAAAGTTTCCAAGGTGATAGAAAGATATAACCTCCCCCAATGGAGAACACATAAACTATAATATAAAGAGAACAAGCAGAAGTAGACAACAAAACCCAGGGCATGCAGATCGTTACAAGACAGCCAAAAATTAGCTGATTCACCATGACAACAAAATCCAAGTGACTTATTTCCAATGCCAGAGGTGCTTGGGCTTGAGTTTGCCAGATGACAAAAAAGCAGGAGCAGTGGGCCCCGGCCCTGTCTTCCCGAGCAGGTGGCACCTGCTTAGCGAGGAGCTTGTGGTACATCCTAGAGTAGGACGCACTGGACAGTCTACTTCCCGATGGAGACCATGTGTCAGAGTGGGGAGAGAACCTTGAGCCCCAGAGGATGGCGAGATTGGGGCAGGGCTATACAGATGATCATCAACTGTGCTCCACGCCAGTAAGTAACACAGAAGCGGGTAGAATTTGTGCTGTGACTATAAAAAACACTGGTTTGTGTTTGTGCCAAAGCGGACTCTGAACATCAGCTGTGTGAGTATAAGAGTTTGTCTGGGCTGGCATGGGTTCTGGAGGAAGGAACTGCAGGAAGCCCAATACTTGGAGTATCTTGACCTCATTATTGTAGGGTTGAGGGCCTCTTTCTCACAATCATGCTATCAAAAAAAAAAGTGCATCACTCTGGATCAAAGCAAAATCAAGAATGTTATTTCATCACATATTTTACATTTTATTTTAGCTCATGGATGCTATTGAGATTGGACGGGTAACTGCTGTCAGTTGAGGTGGAACTCAACTGTACGCTCACATGAAAGTGTGATCCCAGTTTCTAAAGCCATCACATATTTAAGTCAGTACTGTACATCACTTGAATCCCAGTAAAGGATTGTCTGCCATCAAGCCATGGCTTAACATGAAGGCACACTACCATGCAGGCACATTTGGTTCTGGAGATGAATGCACTTGCCAACGACAACAAACACAGGCTTTATAAGAGCTAAGAAACAAGGAAGATGCTTGAGACAGTTCGTGTGGTCATGAATCTGATAGCATCTGCAATCAAGGAAACAAGCCTCTAGGCAGAGCTGTGACAGGTTAACTCAGGTGGGAAGAGTGCCTGAATAAAGGGCACCACCCTTCCCTGGGCTTGTGTCCCGCACTGCACAGACAGGAGAAAGCTCCAGAGCACCAGCGCTCGCTATGCTGCTTCTTGAGACAGACGTAAGTGACCAGCGCCTCAAGCCCTGGCCCCCACGACATCCTTGCCAAGACGGACCACACTCTCAAACTGTGAGCCAGAATAGTCCTCTCTTCTTTAGGTTGCTTTTGTCAGGGTACTGACCACAGCAATAGGAAGAGGAAAACAATCCCACATGCAGATGGAATGCAAGATGTTCAATCAGATTCTGATAGTCAATTGAACTACCTACCACACAGGGGAACAGCCAGCTGAAGGTAGAAGCCATGAATTCTCTAGGAAGGTAAGTGTGGTGGTTTGAATTAATTGTCCTCCCTAAGTCTCAGGCATCTGAATACTTGGTACCCAGTTGGTAGCCTTAGGTGGGCCCTTGCTAGAGGAAGTATGTCACCAGGGGCTGGCTCTGAGGTTTCAAGACTCATGCTAGTTGGTGCTCTCTACTTCCTGCTATGGTTCAAGATATGAACTCTCCACTGTTCCTGCTACCATCTCTTTGGTCCATCATAATGGACTCAACTCTCTAGAACATAAGCCCATTTAAATGTTTTCTTTTATAAAGTTGCCTTGGTTATGTGTTTTATCCCAACAATAGAAAAGCAACTAATACAGAAAGCA